TGTTAGAATTTGTTTTATGTCTTTTAAAAAAGTAGTCTGGTATATGTAATACATGTATGAAATATAAGGAGCCCTAGTGGCACGGTGGTTAAGTGTTCGGCTGCTAACAAAAGGTTGGCAGTTCGAATCCGCCAGCCACTCCTTGAAAATCCTATGGGGCAGTTCTCCTCTGTTCTACAGGGTTGCTGTGAGTCAGAATCGATTTGACAGCAATGGGTATGGGTATTATATATAATGGAAATAAGCAAACAAACCAAAAACCTTAAGTTAGCCTTTGAATCTGTATTTCGTTTATTAAAAATTACAGCACTGCAGATTGATCAGTGAAAGCTATAACCCACCTACTGCCGTCACGTTGATTCCAACTCATAGTGACCATATAGGGCAGAGTAGAACTGCCCCATAGGGTTTCTAAGGCTCTAAATTTTTACAGAAGCAGACTGCCACATCTTTCTCCCACAGAGTGGCTGGTGGGTTCAAACTGCCAACCTTTATGTTCGCAGCCAAGTGCTTTAACCACTGTGCCACGAGGGCTGCTAGTGAAAGCCGTAGGGGTGAAAATATTCAGCTTCTCTACCCAGGTAAATTTATGGGTTTTAAAGTTTTTTTCCCTTTGCCATTCACTCCAAAACTTTTTCTGGGCTACTTGCTGTATGCTAAGTAGGCAGAAAAGGTGGTAATGTTATTGAAGATGTGTAACGAAACAAAAGATGCTAAAATCTTTGTCACCAAAAATTCAAAAACAAATAAATAAAAATCGCAAGTTTAAAGTGTTACAGAAAAAAAGCTGCACGCTGATCTCCTTTTTAAGTCACACACAAGGAGGACTGAGAATACCTTTATTAAGTCAACTGCAGCTGAAGACTAAAACAATTTATTTCCAATGTAGAAGTATGCATTTGTATGGTATGAAGCCAAATGCATAATACAGCTGTTAAAATACGCAAGTGATTTTGCTGGTATAAAGTATCAGTTAATAATATGAGTCAAATTGAAATTTAAAGAAGTATTATAAATTGTTGGTTCTCTGTTTCATAATACCTTAGATTTTCTATAAGGTATATTATATCTGGAATTTCTTTTGTAGGAATCCAAACGCCGAATGAATTACTTTTTAGATGTTTTTCTATTTCCTCAAGAAGACTTAGCTTTAAATGCAACTGTCCTCCTATGGCCTGGGAAGATTAATCCTATCTTTGATGAAAATGATGAGGTAGATTTAGTTTTCAGTACGTATTCTTATATACTGACATTTTTTAGCACGGTGTTCACATTTCATTTTCATATGTACTTGCTGTCTACCTTTAAAAAATAACTTCATGTATCAATATGAGGTTGGGGCTTAGGACAGGCAGTTAGCTCCTAACTCACAGTGTCTGGTAAGTAGTGAGGCTGACATTAGAGAAGTGAGAACTAGTATGTAAATTAATAAAATAACAGTAAGCACTGTGCTAGGTGCTTTCCATTTACTAAATCATTTAATACGCACAAAAATCCCAGGTGCTCCTATTATCCCCACTTTATAGATGAGAAAAAGGAGACTCAGAGAAGTTAAATAACTTGCTCAATATCACAGAGATAAGAAATAGCAGATTCAGCATTTTACATCAGACTGAATATTGTTCAGATTTTGAAAAAGTCCTAATGTAAACCAGACCAAAACAAAAACAGCTGCTGTCAAGTCGATTCCAACTCATAGTGATCCTACAGGACAGGGTAGAACTGTCCCATAGGGTTTCCAAGGAGCAGCTGGTGGATTCAGACTGCTGATCTTTTTGGTTAACAGCTGAGCTCTTAACCGCTGTGCCACCAGCGCTCCAATGTAAACCAGTTTATCCTAAATTGGGCAGTGATGTGGTAAAGTAATGAAAAGAATGGGCTTCAGTCAGACCAGGATTCTAATCCAGATGTCAACTTTTACTGTTTTGTGGCCTTGAACATGCCTCTTGACCTCTATAAGCTTCAATTTCTTCATCTCTGAAATGAGAATAATAATAATACCCGCAATAATGAGGTTAGGTGTTTAACAGTTTTTGGCAC